CCCCCAACTCCCCAAGCCGACCCAAAAGGATACCATGATCAATAGTATTGAAAGCAGCTGAGAGGTCAAGAAAAGCAAGGATGGATGCACTACCCCATCCCACTCCCATCAGAGATCATCCATAAGTGCGACCAGTGCTGTTTCCATTCCATATCCAGGCCTGAAGCCTGACTGAAAAGGGTCCAGATAATCCCTTTCATCCAGGATCCTCTGGAGCTGCAATGCCACCACTTTCTCAACCACCTTCCCTAAAAAGGGGAGGTGGGAGACTGGACAAAAGTTGTCCAGTATGGTGGGATCCAGTGAGAGTTTCTTGAGGAGAGGGTCCACCAGCACCTCTTTAAAGGAAGCCAGAAATACTCCTGCTCTCAAGGATGAATTCACCATCACCTGGACCCACCCACATATCACCTCCTAAGCTGCCCTAACCAGCCAGGAGGGGCATGGGTCTAACTGACAAGTGATGGCATTTATAGACCGGAGGACCCTGTCCACTTCCTCGGGCCCAACAGGATCAAACTGTTCCCGGATAACAGGGTAAGCACAATCCCCAGGCATCTCCACAGGCCATGCCCTATGCTTGGTATCCAACTGGGAACAGATCTGAGCGATTTTATCCTCCAGATGCCCAGAAAACTCCTCAGCATGGCCCTGCAGGTGGGCCACTGGGCCCTCCTTTCCCAAAAGGGATTGGGTGATCTTAAACAGGGCCACTGGGAGGCATTCTGCAGATGCAATAAGAGCACAAAAATGATGGTGTCGTCTACCTACTGGATCAATACTTTTGGTTGTATGTGTGGGAGTACTATAGTTTCTGCTATGAATCCTGAGAGTGGTGATCCCATGGGTGTTCCTCTGATTTGTTGGTATATTGGTCCATTAAACTGAAAGTAGGTAGTGAGGCAGAGGTTGATGAGGTCATGATTCTGGGTATTTCAGTCTTAGTGTATTTGGTTAGGTTGGGTGTGTTGTGTAGTAGTGCTGCCATGAATTCTTTTGATAGTTCTGGAACCATGGAAGTAAAGAGTGCTGTGACATCGAATTAAACCATAATTTCATCTTTTTCTATTTTTATGCCTCTGATTTTTTGGAGGCACTGTAGCGGGGAGTTGATAGAATATTCACTCCCCTCTGTGAGTTGTCAAAGCTTTTTTTGTAAGTTCTTTTACGATGTTGTAAGTTGTGGTCTCTGGTAACGATACAATTGGATGAAGAGGTATGTCAGGCTTACGTATTTTGGGGCATCCATAGATGTGTGGGAAGATGGGTCCATTGCTTTTTATCCACCACTATTCTTCTTTTGTGATTTGACCTTTCTTGGTTAGATCATTAAGGATTCTATTGATCAGGTTGTCTAGTTTCTGCATTGGGTTGGTGCTTACTAGGATGTAGGTTTCTTTGTCCTCCAGTAATTCTTTGGCTTTTTGTATATATTGTGTTCTGTCCATGATAACTGTGGTTTGGCCTTTGTCTCCTGGGAGGATCATGATGGTTTAGTCCTTCTTTAGGTTTCTGAGGGCTGCTCTGTCCTCTGCTTTGAGTTGGTTCTGATTCTCTGTTCTTCTGGTCTCTGGTATGATTGTCTGCCTTAAGTTTTCTTGGGTCTCTGTGGCAAGTCCTGTGATTTTAAATGCTGCTTCAAGGCTGCAAAGAATTCTAACTGATTAGCATCGTCTGTGTTACATGAGTTGGAATTGCTAAAATCCAGTGCTGATTTGCATCATAGGCTACCCCCCATTGTGGCATATGGAATGCCCTCCATTGAAAGCAGGGTTTCTTAATGACACTGCTTATTTCCCTTCTATTCAGCTGAATGGGAGGGCTTTCCCTTATACCAACTTTGTGATAGACACCACACCCGAGGTCTGGTGTATTCAGCATCAAAAGGGAGGTAAGCTCTGCTGTAAAGTCTTGTTCTTCTGTCCCACTCGTATTTTGTCTTTGCTCTGATTGCTTGACCAGCACAGATATGCTGCTGAATCCATGCCATTTTACCAATATCTCTCTGATGACAGAGGCATGTTTAACGTTCCATTCATGCAAGGAAACGTTCTGCCTGTGTTCATGTGACAAAAACTAGTTTATTTTGGCTCAGTCCAAAAAAGTTAAGCAGTATCAGAACTGATGAGTGCTTGGATGGGAGAACATCAGGAAAGAAAACCTGTCCATGTAGTCACCAGCACCTTAACTGAAGCAAACAGAGCCTTGATCTTTTCACCATGTAAAGGGCTTCTTCTGTATCCTCTCCCCCCATTCACCCCCAAGTCAGCTTAACCAAAGTGGTTGGATCCTTACTTGTCCTTTCCAGCAGAGTTTTTTCCCACAGTAATGTATTCATTTGCTACTGGCTGAAATGTTCTTGATAATCTAAGATATGCTCTGAAGAAAAATGACTTCAGGAGGTACAGCGGCTAATAGAAAATAATCCTGCTTTAATGCACCCATTTGAATTCCGCCCATGATTCACTACTGGTCACAGTAAACATTCTTTCTTCTCAATCAGATACAATGCTAGTAAGGAACCTAGGGCTTTAATAGGGTAAAGAATAAGATCTCAGAGAATGGGGCAGACTTTCATTCAGAACATTTCTGTGCAATCATGAATCAAAGGCACGCTGGTTTTATTTGATAGATGAGGTCACATTGATTTAGAAAGGGGATGGGAGAGCAGTTCATTCCAACCCAGAAAAAGCACACAGCAATTATTTCTACTTTACCAAATTAAAGGCCTATTATTTTCTAGCAATTTTACTTTCATCCTATTTTTCTTAAACAGCATAACAGGCATAAATAGCAGTATGTTTTTCTAATTGCCATTATATAAAAAGCTGTAATTAATGTCTAAATTAAAGGCATGTCAACTGTTTGGTTAATTACTCAACCTCATATTATCCTACTAGCATCAGTAAAGCCACACACCTGTCATGACATTTTGTAATCAGTGGAACTGTTTAGAATGAACACATCAAGAGCTACTTTTTTAAACTGATCTCCCTTTTATAAAAGTAAGGCTCACTCCACATTTGGGTGAAACAAGAATAAGACTTTTAAGCCAGATAAATTAATGGCAATTTTTTGGTTGCAGAGCAACAAGGAGCTCAGAATTCTGGGTGCAGTTTTCATGGAGAAAAAATTTTTTGTTTTAGCACCAATATCCTGATCCAAATCATAGCTTTGAAAGGTCATTAATTCCAACCCCCTGCACAGTACAGGAATCCTCAGACCATCCTGGAGAAATGGCTGTCCAACCTTCTTTTGAAAACCTCCAATGATGGATCACCCACAACTCCAGGATGTGGCCTGTCCCATTGCTTCATAGCTCTCATGGTCAGAAATTATCTCTTTATTTTGAGTTTGCATCTCACCCATTGGTCCTTGTCTTACCCGCAGGCAACACAGAGAATAAATCCACACTCTTCCTGCAACAGTCCTTCAAATATTGGAAGACAGCTATCATGTCTCCCCTTAGCCTTCTCTTCTTTAAGCTAAACATGCTCAGTTTTTTCAACTGTTCTTAATAAGATTTAGCATCTAAGCCTCTCACCATCTTTATTGCTCTTCTCTACCCTCTTTCCAGTTCAACCTCCATCCTTCCTGCTTCTGACAATAACAGACATCGGAGAACTTAAATGTGGATCTTTAATTATTAGTTCACATAATGTGAACATATACTTAGCACATACTGTGCTAAGCTATGGTTTGGTTACCCATGGTTATTATTTCTTTTTTCAGATGAGCAGACCCAAGAAAACCTCATGCTGGAACTGTTGACAAATTCATACATAACTTTCACCAACACGTATACTAGCAGTTATGAACTCCATTATAAGCATTTAATTGGGACAGATATACAGGACAGGAAGCCAATGCATGTCATCTTTCACAAGTAATGGGAAACATTTGTATTATTATATCTACATGGCAAAACCATTATGAGTAAAACAATACTGAGCAGAGAAGAGTATAAACATTCCAGAAAAAAGGAATTCAGCATGGAGGACTTCAGCTGCTGATACAGAAAAACTTTCAGGAAAGAGTGTTACATCTTTCACATTACAGACTCTGGCAGCTGATTATTTTTCCCACCTACAAGTAAATGGGTTTAAAATTGGAGACCAAATTGGGACTGAGTGGATCTCTAAAGGCTGCTTAACATCTTGTATACAGCTGTGAGCCCACATCACAAAGCATTACAGTTATGAGCAATATATGTATGTTCTCAGGATACAGAGAGAGAGAGAGAGGACAAAAGAGAAGATGTGGTCCTTTCCTGCTCATATATATAACCATTAGTGGGCCATGTCTTCTCCATGACCTTTTCCAGAAAGTCTATTATGAACTGATATAAAACATTTGTAATTGGTACCTAGCTATTTAAATGCATCAAGTTGGAAGCAGTTCTAACATTATTACAAACAATCAGCAGCTTTACAAATTATGCAGGAAAAAATATACATTTTCTACCATCAGGGCCTGATTACTAAACAACACATTAAACATGGTTGCTGGATTCTAACAACGTACTAAACCAAAATCAAACTGCATTCTGGCTTACTGTATGAATTCTGTAAATTGTGGCTTATCCACCTAATCATGGTTAAGCAAAACATGGCTTATCACACTTTGTGACTTCATATGTGCACGTATATACTTGTGCCATCCATCTTTCATATGTTTGGGAGTATACAGAGGGCAGTAATCTGTACTTTGGAGAAAAATCCCCGAAATAAGAATTCCAACCGCAATCGGATAAAGTTTCAGGGACTTCTTTCTTACGAAACCAAACCCACCGAGTTTACCAGCGTGGCTCAGGGCGTATCTCTCGGAGAAACCCCGTTTCCTCTCTGGGAGGCAAGGGAAGGATCGGGCCCCATCCCCCCCGAATCCCTGCCCACCCACTCATTTCGTTTGTTCCAAGACACCGATCGGCTGCGAGCGAGCGAGCGACGCTCCAACCCCAAGCGAAGGACCGACCGACCGACCGACTCGGAAGGCTTTACCGAAGGCTGGCTGACTTCCCTCTGGCTCGAGCCGCGCCGCGTTTGCCTGGTTTTCGGCGGGGACGTGGCTCCCGCTTGGAAACCTGAGCTGCCTTTTCCTTCTCCGACTCCGCAGGCTGGACCGGTCGGAAGCGTGTCTGGAGCAGCGGGGCGAGGTCCGCGCCAGCCCCGGCGGCAGCGTGCCCCGAGGGGCTCTCCCCCGCCGCTGGCAGAGGCGGCTCGTCGGCGTTGCCCACCAAGAGGTAGAGCAGGAGCAGGAGCCCCAGGCAGAGCGCGAGGGCCACCACTTTGCAGGAGAGCCTCATCGTCCGGCGGGCTGCCTCAGCCCTGGCGAAGACACGTCCCCCTCATCCTCCCGCTCCCGCGCTGGCAAATTGGATCCAGCCCTGACATTTTAAAGCCGCTCGCTCGCTCGCCGCCCGAAGCGCCGGGCGCAAAGGAGGGAGTTGGCGGCGCGCGGCGCCACACCAGCCCCGCCGCGCGGGGGGGAGGGCGGGGGGGGGGCG